CGAGGCCGGCCGGAGGAGGCAGCCCCTGAGCAACTGTGGGTCGGCGTGTGAAGGGCCGGCTGTCATCTGGTGCCGCATGCTTGGCCCAAGGTGGCTTCCAGTACTGCCTCCATCCCAGACTCGGTGGCCAGGCCAGGCCAGACAGTGACGGGGCACCTCTGATGACCACAGTGGGTGTCTGTGGTGCACTGGGGCCTGGCCCCCACAGGAGCTGTGGAGGGGGACAGACCACGGTGTGACCCTGCCCTGCAGTGGCCCCAGGGCATGGTGGCAGGTCCTAGTGGCACGCAGCGAAGCCAGTGGGCAGACTGATTGAGTTCCCTGTTTTCCAGAGGAACGTGGGGCCCTGGGTGCAGGCAGGGGTGGGTGGGTGCCTGTCTTCCCACGGTTCTGCCTCCAAACTAGCCAGGGTTAACCTCGAACCTGGCTGTGCTGAGTGACTGTAGCCCAAACCTGACGGAGGCAGAGCTGGGACTCAGGAAGCACCAGTTGTAGGCCCAGCCCCTGACCCGCCGGGGGTCCTGGTTTCTAGAAGAGGCCCAGGATGCTGTGCCCCATGGGCTCCTAGGTGCTCCGAGCAGGGTCCCAAGCCAGTGCTGACTGGGTCTGTCCCCTTTTGGGTCAGGAGCCCTTTGGGAACTTGGCGCATAGTGAGTTACTTCCCCACAGGCGCAGACAGCCCCAGCTGGGGACGCACACCTGCACCCCTGCAGCGCCGGCTCCCGAGTGCAGGGGAGGGACAGTTGGGCAGGCCAAGCTCCGCCCCGGGCTTGCGGTAACAGCTGGCTTCCGGTGACTTCCCTAGCCGGACAGAGGCCCGGTGACGGCACCAGGCTTCTGCTGCTTCTACAGGAAGGCTCTTGGGCTGGCCCCAAGACTAAGAGCCTGGGTCCCACACGGCTGCACATGGTTCAGATCCTGTCCCCGTGGCTTGAGAAACACGCCGGGCGCTTTGCAAGCCCCAAATCCCGAAGGTGGAGAACAGGAGGAGGGGCGTGTGGTGTGGCAAAAGATGGCTCTTCACTCCAGAGGGCTTTCCGTGCAGCGCTGTCACCCCCAGGGGTGGGGCTGGACTGCGCCGGGGCAGTCGGGCAGACATGGCTGTCCGCTCGGGGCGCTCCTCAGGGCCTCGCCCAGAAAGGCCGGCCGTCTCCCTGACCCACAGGCTCAGTCCCCCTTCAGACTGGCCCACCCTGTCTCCCCGAGCCGAGCACTGGGCGGGCTCTTGTGGTCGAGGGCCTCGATGTGGCCCTCGGGCAGTTTCGCAGTTGCTCGAGGGCCCAGTGAATGGCCAGGTTCGGTGGCCACATGCGCGGAGCCCTCGAGGTACCCCAGAGGTACCCCAGAGCTCGAGGTACCCCAGAGCTACCCCAGAGGTACCCCAGCTGCGCACTTGCAGATGGGAGTGGTGGGGGCCGGCAGGGGGCTGGCTCTGACCTGGGGTCCACACGGCTCGCCTCGTGGCCTGGTCGTCCATCCAGGTCTGGTCCTCGGTGTGTGTCTGGCCTCCCGTTACACCCTCATCTGGAAGGTTCTGTTTCTTTAGATAAATTCGTTTACTTATTGTTAGGATTTACTTGGCCCTAGCCCTCTCCGTGCCAGTACACATGCAGAGGACAGGCGGGTAGTGCCAGGTCGCACGCGTCCCTCACAGCTGGGCAGCGCACCATGCGCTGTCTCGTCCCCGAGCTGCCCCCGCCCACTCGGCCCCCATGATGCTGAACCCCCAGACGCGCGGCCAGTTAATTCCAGGGACTGGCCGTGGAGCTCTGGGGGTCAGGAGCATTCTCACCTGTGCTCAGGCGTCCGGCGGTCTGCCCCGCCGCCCGGTGTGCCTGTGCGTCCTGTCCCGCTGCAGGTCTGTGTGGCACCTCTCTGCCTGTCATTTACTGAGCTTTGTTTCTGCACCGTGTTCCCCAGGGCTTCCCGAAACAGACTCGAGTGTACGTGTCTCTAAGGCGGCTCTCGGGCGGGACTGATGTCTCATGCTTCTACTTCAGGCACGAGGTACGTTTTGTCATCTGTGTGCTCCCAGGAGCCGTCACCTTGGTCAAGACAGTGACATGTCCTCGGTCCGTCACCCCCTCTCTTTCCTGTGACTTACGTGGTGGAGTCCTGGACTCCGTGCCTCGGCCCGTCACCCCCCTCTTTCTTGTGACTTACGTGATGGAGCCCGGGCTCTGTGCCGTCCAGTTTTGCTGGTGCCGCCCTGTGATGCAGCCAGCGTGTGGCTTCACCGGCACACACATTGCTCGAGCCGCCACTTTGAGAGCACGCCCCAGCCTTCCCCCACCCGCCGC